CTATTAATCAACACCTGCTACAGTGTCCTCTATTAATCAACACCTGCTACAGTGTCCTCTATTAATCAACACCTGCTACAGTGTCCTCTGTTAATCAACACTTGCTACAGTGTCCTCTGTTAATCAACACCTGCTACAGTGTCCTCTATTAATCAACATCTGCTACAGTGTCCTCCATTAATCAACACCTGCTACAGTGAACGCCATTAATCAATACCTGCTACAGTGTCCTCTATAAATCAACACCTGCTACATTGTCCTCTATTAATCAACACCTGCTACAGTGTCCTCTATTAATCAACACCTGCTACAGTGTCCTCTATTAATCAACACCTGCTACAGTGTCCTCTATTAATCAACACCTGCTACAGTGTCCTCTATTAATCAACACCTGCTACAGTTGTCCTCTATAATCAACACCTGCTACCAGTGTCCTCTATAATCAACACCTGAGCTACAGTGTCCTCTATAAATCAACACCTGCTACAGTTGTCCTCTATTAATCAACACCTGCTACAGTGTCCTCTATTAATCAACACTGCTACAGTGTCCTCTATAATCAACACCTGCTACAGTGTCCTCTATTAATCAACACCTGCTACAGTGTCCTCTATTAATCAACACCTGCTACAGTGTCCTCTATTAATCAACACCTGCTACAGTGTCCTTCATATTAATCAAACACCTGCTACAGTGTCCTCTATTAATCAACACCTGCTACAGTGTCCTCTATAAATCAACACCTGCTACAGTGTCCTCTATTAATCAACACCTGCTACGTGTCCTCTATAAATCAACACACTGCTACAGTGTCCTCTTAAATCAACACCTGCTACAGTGTCCTCTATTAATCAACACCTGCTACAGTGTCCTCTATTAATCAACACCTGCTACAGTGTCCTCTATTAATCAACACCTGCTACAGTGTCCTCTATTATCAACACCTGCTACAGTGTCCTCTATTAATCAACACCTGCTACAGTGTCCTCTATTAATCAACACCTGCTACAGTGTCCTCTATTAATCAACACTGCTACAGTGTCCTCTATTAATCAACACCTGCTACAGTGTCCTCTATTAATCAACACTGCTACAGTGTCCTCTATAAATCAACACCTGCTACAGTGTCCTCTATTAATCAACACCTGCTACAGTGTCCTCTATAAATCAACACCTGCTACAGTGTCCTCTATAAATCAACACCTGCTACAGTGTCCTCTATAAATCAACACCTGCTACAGTGTCCTCTATAAATCAACACCTGCTACAGTGTCCTCTATTAATCAACACCTGCTACAGTGTCCTCTATAAATCAACACCTGCTACAGTGTCCTCTATTAATCAACACCTGCTGATGAGGTTCTCATGTAATACTGAGAAGAGTTTGTGAGGTTGTCAAAGCAAAACAGATTCTTTTTTCCTAGCACCTGGCCTGCCTAGCAGCTGGCCTGCCTAGCAGCTGGCCTGCCTAGCAGCTGGCCTCCTAGCAGCTGCCTGCCTAGCAGCTGGCTGCATAGCAATGGCCTGCCTAGCAGCTGGCCTGCCTAGCAGCTGGCTGCCTAGCAGCTGGCCTGCCTAGCAGCTGGCCTGCCTAGCAGCTGGCCTGCCTAGCAGCTGGCCTGCCTAGCAGCTGGCCTGCCTAGCAGCTGGCCTGCCTAGCACATGGCCTGCCTAGCAGCTGGCCTGCCTAGCAGCTGGCCTGCCTAGCAGCTGGCCTGCCTAGCAGCTGGCCTGCCTAGCACCTGGCCTGCCTAGCAGCTGGCCTGCCTAGCAGCTGGCCTGCCTAGCAGCTGGCCTGCCTAGCATCTGGCCTGCTTGCCACAGTGGCAGCTGGTCTGCCAGGCAGTTCTGTCTGCCTCCCTCTATATTCCTGCCTGTCTCTCCATCTACTTGCTTGCCTATCTTTGTATCTCTCTGCCTGCCTGCCTGTCTACCTATTTGTCTGTCTGTCTACCTGTAAGTCTGCTTAACTATTTGTCTGCCTTTCTGTCTGTTTGCTTTTCTGCCTGTTTCTCTGTTTGTCTTTCCAAGAATCTCTCTGCCTGTTTGCCCGAGTGTCTCCCTTTTTCCCTGTTGTTTTAATGCCTTCTTTTTTCTGCTTGTCCTTGCCTGCCTTCCTTTTCCCTGCCCCTGCCTTTTTCCAGCTCTACTTCCACAAACCACATTAAAAAGTTTAAAATCCCCCGGGAAAGGGGTTCTCATGTATATAAAGAGTTTAAAGGTTACAAAGCCAACATTCCCACATTTACTGGCATCTAGGGGCCGTAGAGGACCTGTGATTCCTTCCTACATTCCTCCCTACGGGGCCGTTAGAAACCTGTAGATATCATTCCTACATTTCTACTTCCTCCCTAGCCCCTGATGTACATTGCCTCTACATTCCTCTCATGCCGTAGAACTGATGTAATCATTCCCACATTCTGTTCATCCCTAACTGTGTTCTTCCTCCATTACTGCTTCCCTACTTTGTATCTTCCCTCTTACTGCTACCATGCGTTGCTATGAAACCCTCTTAACTATTGCTGCCCTGTTGTTCTTCCTTTTCTCTTTTTTTTTTTAAGAATTTTTGTGTTTCATTCCCCTTTTCTGCTTTCATCCTAGCCTGTTTTCTTCCTCTTTCTGCCTCTCTGCCTGATGTAATTCATTTCCACAACCTTCATTCAAGTTAAATATGAATCATTCCAATTTATTAAAGGGGTTTCGAACTGTAAGATACATTCCCACATTACTCTATCATGCTTTAGAACTGATGATATCATTCCTACATTACTACTATCATGCGTAGAACTGATGATATCATTCCCACATTACTGCTATCATCCGTAGAACTGATGATATCATTCCCACATTACTGCTATCATGCGTAGAACTGATGATATCATTCCTACATTACTGCTATCATGCGTAGAACTGATGATATCATTCCTACATTACTGCTATCATGCGTAGAACTGATGATATCATTCCTACATTACTGCTATCATGCGTAGAACTGATGATATTCCTACATTACTGCTATCATGCGTAGAACTGATGATATCATTCCTACATTACTGCTATCATGCGTAGAACTGATGATATCATTCCTACATTACTGCTATCATGCGTAGAACTGATGATATCATTCCCACATTACTGCTATCATGCGTAGAACTGATGATATCATTCCCACATTACTGCTATCATGCGTAGAACTGATGATATCTTTCCCCACATTACTGCTATCATGCTTTAGAACTGATAAATATTCCTACATTACTGCTATCATGCGTGAATGATATATCATTCCCCACATTACTGCTATCATGCGTAGACTGATGATATCATTCCCTCATTACTCTATCATGCTAAATGATGATATCATTCCCCACATTACTCTATCATGCTAAACTGATAATATAAATTCCCCACATTACTGCTATCATGCTAGAATGATAATATCATTCCCCACATTACTACTATCATGCTAAATGATGATATCATTCCTACATTACTCTATCATGCGTAGAATGATGATATCTTTCCCCACATTACTCTAATCATGCTAGATGATAAATCTTCCCACATTACTGCTATCATTCCTACGTTGCTGCTTATCATTTTCATTTTGGTGCTATTATTCCCACTTTCACTGCCATCTTTCTCTTCCTCCTTTACTCTATGCTTCCACCTTAATACTATTACTCCCCTGGCTCTTCGTGCCTCTGTTTCTCTCTCTTTCTCTTTCTCTCTCTTTCTCTTTCTTTCTCTTTTTCTCTGTCTTACACCCCTCCCTTCCTTCCAAACTACGTCCCAGATTATTTCTCTCTAGCCTCTCCTTTCCTCATTCTCTCCCTCTGACTCCTCACTACTCACAGCAAGGGTGATGCCCACTCCCTCACTACTCACAGCAAGGGTGATGACCACTCCCTCACTACTCACAGCAAGGTGATGCCCACTCCCTCACTAACCCCACAAGGTGATGCCCACTCCCTCACTACTCACAGCAAGGGTGATGCCCATTCCCTCACTACTCACATCAAGGGTGATGCCCACTCCCTCACTACTCACATCAAGGGTGATGCCCACTCCCTCACTACTCACATCAAGGGTGATGCCCACTCCCTCACTACTCACAGCAAGGGTGATGCCCACTCCATACTCAAATCAAGGGTGATGCCCACTCCTCACACTCACATCAAGGGGTTTATGCCCACTTCCATACTCACATCAAGGGTGAGCCCATTCATTCACACCCATCAAGGGTGATGCCCACTCCCTCACTACTCACATCAAAGGTGATGCCCACTCCCTCACTACTCACAGCAAGGGTGATGCCCATTCCCTCACTACTCACATCAATGGTGATGCCCACTCCCTCACTACTCACAAAAGGGTGATGCCCATTCCCTCCTACTCCATCAAGGGTGATGCCATTTCTCCTACTCACATCAAGGTTGATGCCCACCCATACTCACATCAAAGGTGATCCCCACTCCCTCACTACTCACATCAAGGGGGGCCCCACTCCCTCATACCCACATAAAAGGGTGATGCCCCACTCCCTCACTACTCACATAAGGGGGTGATCCCCACTCCCTCACTACCAATCAAGGGTGATGCCCACTTCCTCATACTACTCAAGGTGATGCCATTCCCTCATATCCATCAAGGGTGATGCTCACCCATCACTACTCACATCAAGGGGATGCCCCCTTCACTACTCACTTCAAGGGTGATGCCCGTTCCCTCACTACTCACATCAAGGGTGATGCCCACTCCCTCACTACTCACATCAAGGTTGATGCCCACTCCATGCTCACATCAAGGGTGATGCCCACTTCCTCACTACTCACATCAAGGGTGATGCCCAGTCCCTCACTACTCACATCAAGGGTGATGCCCACTCTCTCACTACTCACATCAAGGGTGATACCCACTCCCTCACTACTCACATCAAGGGTGATGCCCACTCTCTCACTACTCACATCAAGGGTGATACCCACTCCCTCACTACTCACATCAAGGGTGATGCCCACTCTAGGGAAGAAGTGGCGCGGAGGGGAGTCCCTGGGCACGTATCTGAAGAACTCATCATCATCCTTGAACCACTTGACGGAGTAGATGGAGGAGTTGCCAGGTTCGTAGTCACAACGTAGCTCTACTGTGTCTCCCCGGAGGTTGTAGGGCGGGATGACCCACTCTCGTAGCCGTAGACCATCACACATTACTGTAGCACCACCACCAGGGTGAGAGAGAGAGAGAGAGAGAGAGAGAGAGAGAGAGAGAGAGAGAGAGAGGAGAGAGAGGAGAGAGATGGGAGGGAGAGAGAGAGAGAGAGATTTTTTAATTTTTTTAATATATCATCAGTGATCTAAAAGTATATATATATATATGTATATATATATATATATATATATATATATATATAATATATATATATATAATATATATATATATAATATATATAATATATATATATATATATATATATATATTCATCGTGCTGAATAGGTAAAACCCGTGATTCTGGCTTAAATAGCAACATTCTTCTTGCCGAATAAGGCAATTGGAAATTTGTGTATGCAGTAATTTCACAAAAATCATTCTGAACCTGACGGGAAAATATATTTCATTGTGTTTGTTTATTATTGAATTATTGTAAATTTATCTAAAATATGTTTAGCTGGATTAGGCTAAATTAAATTGCGCTTGTTGTAATAAGGTTAGTTAAGTTTTCTAAGGTTCTTTTGGTACAAAATTATTAATTTTTACATTAAGATAAATGAAAAAAATATATCTTTAAACATATAAGAGAAGATTTTAGAAAGGACTTAATTTTAAATGAGTTCTTGTTAATTGACTAATTTTACTATTCGGCACGACATATATTCATTTATTTCAGTATACATATATACATATATATATATGTATATATATATATATATACAATATAATATAATATATATATATATATATATTATATATATATATATATAATATATATATATATATATATATATATATATATATATATATATATATATATAATATTATATTATATTATATATATATATATATTTATGCGGTTAAATGTCTACAAATGTTAACATGTTTAAATTATCTCATAAATAGTTAATGTAAACAAAACTTCAATTAAGAGGTGAGAACGTCATTAGCTAGGCAAATGATTAGAGATAATGAGGATCAATTAATTTCTCTGGCTGGAGGTCTGTCCGTCCGTCTGTCTGTCTGTTTCTATATCCCTCCGTCTCTCTTCTCTCTCTCTCTCTCTCTCTCTCTCTCTTCTCTCTCTCTCTCTCTCTCTCGCTCTCTCTATCTCTGCCTGTCTTTCTTACTTTCTGTCTGTCTGTCTGTCTGTATGTCTGTCTGTCTGCCTGTCTGTCTGTCTGTTTCAATCCTCCTCTGAATCTGACTATTAAGACACAATATTCAGAACAATTTTCTTAATCGTTTCTCTCTTTCTGAGATTGGAGCTTTGGTGACCTTAAACGGAACACTGGTGACCTTAAACGGAACACTGGTGACCTTAAACTGAACGCTGGTGATATTAAAATGAGCACTGGTGGCTTTAAACTGAGCTCTGGTGACCTTTAAACTGAGCACTGGTGACCTTAAACTGAGCACTGGTGACCTTAAACTGAGCACTGGTGACCTTAAACTGAGCACTGGTGACTTTAAACTCAGCTCTGTAGTTCACTTTAATTATTATTTAAGGTATTAGAGTCTTCACATCTGGCGGAGGAAAGGTCATGCGCAACCATAATGACCCTAGTGTAAACGATAGGCTTCAAACCCTCCCCACCCCCAGCACTTACCCAGAGAGGAGCTGCACCCCGCACTCTTCTTGCTTCTCCAACGAGCTGTAAGCGTTACGTTACATTCCTCCGTCACCCGTAATTCTTGCACAACTTTCGCTGGGTCTCAAGGCTACCGAGTGATTAAGTTTCTAAGGTAAGTGCTGCGTTATATTTTTTTAGATCGAATTATTTATAGATCGAAGATCGTTATTTATAGATCGAAGGTTGTGTTGGGACCTGTTGTGTTGGTGGAAGGAGAGGAAGAGCAAAGTAGTTCCAGCAGGTGTGTGTGTATGTGTGTGTATGAGTGTGTGTGTGTGTGTGTTTGTGTTCATTAACTAGTCAATGTTTCCTTACCTGTTAGTCAGCCTAGCCTGTCCTTAAGAGGTATTTTAGTGTTGGTCGACACTAGCAGGACAACAGACACACTACTAGTGTGTGTCTGCTAGTTTACTCTTCCCTGTTCCCTGTGAGAGGCTGCAGTAATGCTGGTCGACACTACTAGCGTGTCTGCTAGTCTACTCTTCCCTGTGAGACTCACCATTGTGTTGGTTGACACTATCAGTGTGTCTACAAGTCAGTTCTTTACCAGCCGGGTGAGCTTTGCTGACTTAGCCTGTGAGAGTCTGCTTGCTACTCAACGCTAACAGTCATCAACTGTGGCATGCAAAGAGTACGTAACCTTTATTCGGCGCATATACACACGCTCATTGAAAGGCTATTTCCCCCAACCAGCGAACCAGTACTAAGGGTCGGACGATTGGGCCCCGTCGTTCGATCAGTACCCAGGTTCAAGCCAATGAGAAGATGGTTTTGGCAATCGCAGAGGTGTTGTGGGTACCACACACCTGTCTGCCCTTGTCATTCCCATTCTAGACCTGGTTGAAGTACGGTCTGCTCTCTAGTGGTGGCTTCTATTCTGCCTTGCTTACCTATTGTTGTACATAGTGTAATATAGTGTACATACTTCTGTTCTTACTTGGTGAAGGATAATATAAGTCAAAAGTTTTTCTGCTGTGTTTATTTTGATCCCTGTGCACCCAGGATAACAGGCCTAATATCAGCTCCGGAGCTGCTGTTGACACAGTAGTGAAGGCGAGTATGACGCAGAGTTATAACACAGATAAGGGTGTCGTGTGACACGGTAGAGGTGTTATAACCCTGAAAAGGGTGTCGTCTGTACCCGGCGAGTGTAGGGTCAGGTGACACGGTGACAAAGAAAAGATGTCGTGTAATCCAGCGAGTAGTCACCAGACTCTCACGGAATATACCTGATGGTGAATGTCAGTATTTGCCAGATCTGACATTTCAACACTCGCTGGGTTACACGACATCTTTTCTTTGTCACCGTGTCACACGACACCCTTGTCTGTGTTATAACTCTCTGCGTCATACTCGCATTCACTACTGTGTCCACAGCAGCTCCGGAGCTGATGTTAGGCCTGTTATCCTGGGTGCACAGGGATCAAAATAAACACAGCAGAAAAACTTTTGACTTATATTATCCTTCACCAAGTAAGAACAGAAGTATGTACACTATATATACTATGTACAACAATAGGTATCAGTGCACTCCACGGTAAGCAAGGTAGAATAGAAGCCACTAGAGAGCAGACCGTGCTTCAACCAACTCTAGAATGGGAATGACAAGGGCAGACAGGAGAGTGGTGCCCACAACACCTCTGCGATTGCCAGAACCATCTTCTCATTGGCTGAACCTGGGTACTGATCGAACGACGGGGCCCCATCGTCCGACCTTCTGACACTACTGTATCACACTCAGTCGTACAACACTAGTTTCACGGAGATGCATCCTACAATAATAAATAATATTTAATATAAACAATATAAAACCTATAATCTTTGGTACAGATATATATACATCCTACAATAATAAATTATAATTAACTCGTCATGACCCTATAGGCATCGAACCGGTGTCGTCGGCAACCCAGATTAACCTAACACTCGATATCTTAAGGTTCATGTCTATCTTCCCCAGTATATGAAGGGGACTGATCTGAGGACTCATTCACTTGATTCACCCTGACGTATGTAAATACATCCTATCTTGCGTTTTCACTGCAGTTACTGAATAAACTCAGTTACTGGGCCGGGGACCCTTACGTCCACGATTCTCTTTACTCAGTGCTGTCGACGGCAGGTACAGTGTTACGTACAGTGTAGGGAAACACTAAATGCAATCACTTAGGAGCGAGTTAAAAGGGTAGCATTGAAAATGGGTTGTTCGAATATTTTTGTCAGTGGGTTTGGATTTGATAAGGACTTACCAAGTACGATCCAATAGGTCTGCTGCAGTGTTCCTACCTTCTTGTGTTCCTGTGAGTGACCGAGGGGTGCCCAAGACCGAAGGGCTTTCAAGAAAGATGTCCCAATTGATTTTATTGCTCGTCTCTTCCTGCTCTCTCTCTCTCTCAGCATTATTCCAGCTGTTGGACGGTCAGCTGGTGTTGCTCCTGCTGTCTGGGACTCTCACTTGTGCCACCTGGCTTCAAGCACCACCTGATTCCTTCATCTTATTCCACCTCTGTTCCGGCCAGAATTTACATTCATTGTTCTCTTATTGTTGTCGTCGAAGGTCAACACTTTTATTTTATCCTCGTGCTTAATCTCACTGATTGTTTTAGTTCTTTTTTATGATTCCTAATTTTTATCATTCAGTATTTCTATAATTCCAAATTTCTATAATTCCAAATTTCTATAATTCTAAATTTCTATAATTCCAAATTTCTATAATTCCAAATTTCTATAATTCTAAATTTCCATAATTATAATTTCATAATTCTAAATATCTATAATTCTAAATATCTATAATTTTAATTATCTACAATTCTAAATATTTATAATTCTAATTATCTATAATTCTAAATATCTATAATTTTAATTATCTACAATTCTAAATATTTATAATTCTAATTATCTATAATTCTAAATATCTATAATTCTAAATATTTATAATTCTAATTATCTATAATTCTAATTATCTATAATTCTGATTATCTATAATTCTAATTATCTACAATTCTAAATACTTATAATTCTAATTATCTATAATTCTATTATCTATAATTCTAATTATCTACAATTCTAAATACTTATAATTCTAATTATCTATAATTCTAATTATCTATAATTCTAATTATCTACAATTCTAAATATTTATAATTCTAATTATCTATAATTATAATTATCTATAATTCTAATTATCTACAATTCTCAATATCTATAATTCTAAATATCTATAATTCTAATTATCTATAATTCTAATTATCTACAATTCTCAATATCTATAATTCTAAATTTCTATGATTCCCAATACCTATAATTCTAAATTTCTACTGCAATCCTAGGCCTATAACTTGATAAAATGCAGTACATCATCAAAT